GTTATCATTTAGGTTGTTTGCTAAAGAAATCTGTCAGCGTTCGCTTCATTTTCACTTTACCTCAGCCTTTAAATTTCAAACTCTGCCAACTGACTCGCTGAGTGATTGACAGCTATTATATGAACCAATCAGGAATCTGCGCGAGCACAGACCGGTCACATTCAGCGCACAGTGACAGAATGCATACACCGTGGACAAAACTATCTTAATGCCTCGTAAATACCACGCTTTTGTCTATCAGATCACAAGTCATCAATAAATACACAAAAAGACACCATTCCGTTCAAACTTGACACTTAAATCTCCTGTAAGGGAGCATCTGGGCGGGTATTGATGTTCTCAGATCTTCATTGCAATAGTACTGGGAAAGCTGGTGCAATTTTCACTCTGTACAAAGAAATCTTATTAAACTTACTAGATCGATTAAACACTGTTTATGAGTTAGCTACTTAATGTGTTAATTTGCAGTTAAATAGGCCTACATGTTTATTTTTTCTAAAGAAAATGATTAAACGTATTGAGACTGGTTACAGAATATTCTAGGCCAGTGTTTCTCAACTGGTGGGTCGCGACCCAAAAGTGGGTCGCGGAGAGTAAGATCAAAAAAAACAACAAAAGTTTAATATTTAACTTAATTTGCTTATATCTGACTTTTATTTTGAAATGCACGTGCGACGAAGCTTGCCAATGGGACTTTCAATTTGCCAGTAACCTGGGACAAGCCCAGGCGCTTTGGGCGAACTGTATGCAATGCAAAAACCGGCGCGTTTAAGGTCTGTTTTCTTTAAAAATCAGCAAACTCCACTAGCTGAGTGATATCCGATATAAAGTGGGTCTCAGATTGTACAAGAAGCACTGCATTAAATTACATTTTCCTTCACAATGTCTTTATAAAATGAGCATTTATTTTACCTCAGTATATTCAATAAAGCTTCTGCGCTAGCCTGACAGGCGTGTGCGAGTAAACGGCTTTTTGTCTCGTTTTACGCTTGAGCAACTAAATGAATGCCAAAGTTTATTTAACTGAATTTATTTTAATGACATTACAACATCCATGCTGTAAAAGGAACCGTATAAAATGGAAAAAAGTTCACAATAACAGGTCACTGGAAGTTTATCAGTATGGGAAAAACACTAGCTCGGCATATACCCTTTTGACATGTGAAATTCCAGCGCAAGTACGACCCCGAATATGTAAAGTGTGGATTTACATATTTTGACGACAAAAAAGGCTTAAAACCTCAGTGTGTCATATGTAGTGAGGTGCTCTCATAAGAGAGCATGAAACCTAAATTAAAACGACATTTAGAAACCAAACATCCCAATTGCAAGGAAAAACCAGTGGACTATTTTCTAAGACGACTCCAATAGCTGAGGGCTAACATATTCATGTTCAAAACAAGTACAAGTACATCTTAATGTGCTCACCGTGTAGCAAAGGCCAAGAAAGCCCACACAGAAGCAGAACAGCAAATAACTGCTGATTATGATAAAATGGTTATGATTATTTTTATAATTTTACTTTAGTTTGCTGGTTTCTGTTCAGTTTATCCAGATCAGTGTTAATGTTTAATAAACAGTTCAGTTTAGTTAATAGTAACTTAACTTTTCCTTACACTAACCACTGTTTACAGCATTTGACATTTTTACTCTGTAATATTTCTATAATTTGATACATTTTGTTAAATGACAGCAATAAAATATTGTTTATTTGTAAGTCTTGGTAATTTTCTTATAATTTATCTGTCACTAGTTGTGTATGTTAACAGTTAAATACAAATGAATCATAATTCCTAAAATGATATTATAATTCCTAAAAATTTGGGTCGCGGCCTGATGATCATGTGAAATGTGGGTCCCATGGCCAAACCAGTTTAGAACCCCTGTTCTAGGCTACTTTTTTATTATTTTCGCCTCCAATACAAAACCTCTCTCATTGTTACAACCAAGACTTTCAACGAAAAACGTTGAGCTTATATCCATTTCTCCGGCGCGCTTCAGGGGTGTGTCCTGCTTGATTTATGAATGGGTTTAACAACAGAGCGCAGGCTGTGTTTAACGGGTTAACACATTAAACTAGGTTAAAACAGTGCGTTTGCTATCCGGTGCGTTTTAACCATTTTTACAGTTTTTCTAACCACCTCCGTGTGCGGTTGAAAGTGGACGAGCTCAAAGCGTTTCATGGTGCAAATGAGAAGTCGCACAGCAGCAATTCTCTGCAGTCGCACAAATGCTCCTAAATATATTTTGAAGTCGCAGAGATAAAATTTCGGGCGCATATGTGACCAAATTGGTCGCAATTTCGAGCCCTGCCTTTAGTCATTTTCGATCGAGATGCTAATCTGATTCGATGATCTTTGCTAAGCTAAAATGCTCTGGGCAGACTTAGTGAATTAGTTCACAAGTGATAAAAGTCAACTGTTTAACTAAGAAACTTGTAACATAAGCCTTTTTTTTACGTAGTGTTTCTTTAAACATAAACACAAAAGGTGTTTTTGAAATAAATGGCATGAGGGATATTGGTCTACCAGTGTTTTTAAAGCAGTGGTGTTGTCTGAGCCTGTTTAAATGCAGCAGAAAATAAACCAAAGTGAAGAAGTGTAATCTATAGGAGGAAACGCTGATGCTGAGATTTGAGGAGATGAGGATGGTGTTGCGCATTTAAGTTATGTTGGTTAAGACGTAACATTTAAGTGAGTTTCTACTGGTGCTGGGTGAAAGTAAGAGAAAACAGCAAATGGATATGTGAAAACAATACCAATTTATTAAACAATGGGTACGTTTACATGGACACCAATAATTCGATTTTAATGCGATTAAGACAATACTCTGATTAGGAGTTAGAGTGCAGCAATATTTCGTCACCTTGACATCCTCTAAAAAAACGGGTTCCCTAGCAATCTACATACAAGTTAATGTTTAGATTTTTACAATTTCAACAAATGTCATGCGTACATGCAAAATGTATTTTAAAATTCATCAAATTGTATGAATATGAATATATAGACTTTATTTGTAATACCCAAGCAAAATTACCTGGTTTTTATAGGCTACTAAGTTAATATTTTACATGAAAGTACAGCAGTTTTCTTTTTTTTAGTGCAGTTAATGTTCAAACTATTTATAATGTATAAAGTGGCTGACAATAGTACATCTACATAATAGGAATTAATATGCCTCGTTTTTGAGCTATGCAGTGCTTTATGTGCTTAATATGGCCTACTACGCTACTGTATTTTAACACTGGTCAGTATGGTGGTACTTAAAGAGGCAATGTTTTTCTGAGGTGGTACTTAGTGAAAAAAGTTTGAGAACCACTGTTTTAAATAACCGAATCAGCTGAAAACCAGGAGTGTTGCCAAAACAAAGAAATATAACCAAACAATCCAACTAATCCCCAACCCACTGAACTTTCTAACCAAAGAAAAATGCAGAAATAAAATCGTAATCTTCAGCGTATGCGAGGTTTAACTAAACTACTTAACTATTCAAAACATAATTAAACATGTGGCGGCAACTCCATAAACGAACACAAAATACTATTCTTTTAATTACTGGAGTTCTTATAAAGTACACACAAATAGCAAAACAAGAGCGTATCTGAGAATCCAATTCTCATAAAGATCGTTCAACTTCGTAATAATTGGGTAAATTGAGTCAAAGACACTAGCTGTGTCATTTCAGAGGCTGCGTCCTCCAGAGGATGTATTCGAAGTGCGCTGCGCAATGAAGGCTCCTTTAAACACAGCCTCTAAATGCGTCCTTCGTTTCCCAGGTAATGAAGGACACAACCGGTGAATCCTTCGCTGCCTCGAACATCCCAAGATTCATTGCACGCTGATAACATGGAACCCGTAAATAGCGTGATTTATGCGCGCATTTTGCATCTGGTGTAGGCATGGGATGGTATAAGATTAGGACAGTATGAGTAAACATGTCAAATTCACTTCAGAACAGACGCGGATTCACGTCATGTACAGGGCATCTGTCTACCCGGTGACTTTAGCTTCATTGCTAAATGGCTAACTTAGATTTTATTGAGAAAATAAATGTTTATGTGCTTTAGGAAGGCTGAAAAACGGCGTCGATACGTTTGGGGCATGTGTCTGATTCCACTAAATCCTTTCAGAGGTGCAACCAGCTCTGTGAGTTCATCAACTCCTCCAGAAACTTAACCTGCATGATAGAAGCTTTTAGCGGTGCTTCTGACTGAGCCGAGCCTAATTTGATCAACTGTTGTAGGTGTAGGCAGGAGGATTTTCCCCAGGGACATCAACAACAGGCGCTACGTCATAATTATGCCCCCACAAGAGCAAGCCCCTGATTCGTTAACACTCAATTCATGCGTATCGCGCCGCAGGATGTCTATTTGAGTCTTTGCATGGACTTAACTTGTAAATCACTCATGCTTGACACTTCTTCCATGTCTGGTGTGAACACAGCATAATAAATGAAAAATTTGTTGCCTCTTACTGTCACCATCACCAGCAACTGAGCGGCTGCAAATTGCTGGTAAACACAGTTCACTGTGTAATGGTGAACACATCCGCTAAAATGTGGATTGCAACTCCATACATGCACTTTGCATACACACACCTGTTCTTAGTTCCGGTTAAGAGACACACAGACACAGCTGAAGCTGCTCAAAGACTAATTACAAGGACTATAAAGACAGCACACACACAGATTGTTGAGTCTTGTTGAACAACCTTGTTTTTGACCCTGTGCCTTTTGTTTGTTTACGCTGACTGTCTGTACTGGTTATTGCCTGTGTATTTGACTATGACTCTGGATTTGCCTACATACATCCGTTTGCCCCTATGTTGACCGTTGCTTGCCTGACCATCTCTGAATAATCAGCCCTCACTCCGTCACTTCACATTACACTTACAAAGGAAACCTTCCTTACAACAGTGTTGCTTGTCTTGATGCTCTAAATGTTTTGATATTTGTTGCTTTTCACCAATAATTTGAACTTAAACACTTTTTTTTTGCTTTAGACCTGGTGTTGCCGAAGGAAGAGAATCAAGATCAAGACGTGTCCGAAAATCAGACCTTCGTTATTAAAGAAGAACCTTTTAGTTGCTCACAAACTACAGAGGCTTGCACACAAACAACAGTGCAGAGCACTGAAACCAAATGCTCTTTCACCTGCCAAGAGTGCGGAAAGATGTTCGTTATTAAAAGTAACCTCAGGAGACACTTGAGAACTCACACCGTCAAGGAAGATTTCTCCTGCCAAAAGTGTAATACGAGTTTCACGAACCAAAAATCCTTAGACGCTCACAGTAGACGTTACCGATGTACGATTTACTCCTGCAAACGGTGTGGAAGAATTTTTCCAGCAAGAGGTGGTTTGGAGGTTCACATGAGATTCCACTCTGCGCCGCTGGGCCTTTCATGCTATCATTGTGAGAGAGGCTTCAAACTCGAAAGCACCTATAAACGGCACATGCGGGTTCATTTTATAGATGGCTGCTTCACATGCCAGCTGTGTGAAAGGAAATGCCAAAGCTTGAACGTGCTTCAGGAGCACATGCGAATTCACACCGGAGAAAGACCTTTCAGCTGCGACTACTGTAAAGTAGGTTTCACTGGCAAAGCAGGCCTCAAGCACCACATAAAAGCTCACCATGAAGATAAAGCGTTCATATGCAAACGCTGTGGAAAAAGTTTTGCTCAGAACGCGCACCTCAAGATCCACATGAACTCTCACGCCAAAAAGAGGACTTTTAAATGCCAAGTGTGCGGGAAGGATTTTAGTAGTGAAAATGTTTTTAATTGCCACATGAAATGTCACAGAATAGAGAAGCCTTACACGTGTGCACAGTGTCAAAGAAATTTTGTTACAAGCAGAGGACTCGAATCGCACTCGAAGGTTCACACAGCAGGGAAAGCAGTTACCTGCTAGGAGTGAGGAAAGGGTTTTTCTTAAATGCACAGACTAAAAGTCCACATGCGAGTTCGCGCCTTTAGAAAGACTCTTACCGGTCAACAAGGTGGGAAGAGTTTCAGTAATAAAAGGGACCGTACGCTCTACAGACAAGTCTTTCATCTGTCCAAACTGTGGATGTGGTAAGAAATACAGGAAAATCAACAAAAGAAGATTATTAAAAAGGGGAGTTGGACTGATTGTGTTTGCTTGGGTTCAGCTGCTGCTTTCCTGTTGAAACACTCAATAAATGCGTTCCATGTTACATAAAATCTTTTCATTTATTCATTTTCTGCCGATTTTCCGGGGCCGGGTCGTGGGGGCAGCAGTCTTAGAAGAGAACCCCAAACTTCCCACTTTCTATACACTTCCTCCAGCTCCTCCGGGGAGATCCTGAGGTGTTCCCAGGTAAGCCGAGAGACATAGTCCCTCCAGTGTGTCCTGGGTCTTCCCCGAAACCTCCTCCCGGTAGGACATACCTGGAACACCTCCATAGGTAGGCGTCCAGGAGGCATCCGAAACAGATGCCCGAGCCACCTCAGCTGACTTCTCTCGATGTGGAGGAGCAGAGACTCTACCCTGAGCTCCTCCCAGGTGACAGAGCTGCTCAACCCGGCCTATAAGAGTGCGCCCTGCCACCCTTCGAAGGAAACTCATTTTGGCCGCTTGTATCCGAAATTTTATCCTTTCCGTCATGACCCAAAGCTCATGACCAAAGGTGAAAGTAGGAATGTAGATTTACTGATAGATAGAAAGCTTTGCCTTTCAGCTCAGCTCCTTCCTTACCACAACGGGCCGGTACATCGATCGCATTAGGGTTATCACATTCGTTTCTGTCATGCTTAATAGCAGAATAATAAGAGAGATTTTTTAAGAAATTGTTATAACTTTTCTTGAAAGTCAAGTTTACATACAATAATATTATTCTGCCTCAGAAAAAGGCTCAGATGAGGGTGTCAATGTTTTGGAAGTTTCTGATTGGCTACATTTAAGTTAATTAGAGGCACAACTGTAGAATAGTATTTAAGGAAAAGCTCAAACACACTGCTTCCTTGTGTGACAACATGACAACAAATCAACAAGCCAGAATCAACAACAATAGCCAGATTACAGTTTGCTAAATTACACTGGGAAAAATGCTATTTTTTTTGGAGACATGTCCTGTGCTCAGATTGGAACTAAGATGGAACTGTTTGGCCATAATGACCAGTGTTACATTTGGAGGACAAAGGGGAAAGTTTACAAGCCTAGGAACTAGAGATGCGCGGATGGGCTATTATTTCATCCGCAACCGCATGACAAAATTCATCATCCGTCCGCCATCCATCCGCACTAACATTTTTGACCAATTTTTAAAACCGCACCCGCCCGCCATCTGCTGATTGGGCTCTTTATTTGAATGGCTTATTCCTTTTTATTATTAAATGAATATTTCTTTATTGATCATTATAGAATAGAGAATGACTTTAATGTAGACATGCAGTTAATCCAAACGTGCAAGTCATTAATTGAAGACGCTTTGAAGTGACGCTAAAGATACGAGGACGTGTCTTTTCAGTTGATTTGATTCCTCGGTCCTTGAGTCTTTTCCTTGCGTCCTTCCCTCGTACCGTTATCCCGGTGGGGTGGAAACACGGGAAAGAAAGCAAGGAAAGGAAACGAGGATGCACAAATAAGAAATGAGAAGCACCCGAGCTCTCAGAATATCAGCAGTGAACTCCGTCTCCAATCGGCGCACAGGGACAAAAGTAAATAAATAGCCTAAATTAAACGCACTACTATACAACTTTTTTTTATTGTAGTCTAATAGAAAACGCATTGACACATAATTTCAACATGCTGCTATTTAGCCTACTACTAAATGCCTATTTCACTTTATTTTTTATAGATAGAATAATAAGTCATTTACATTATAGCCTAATAATGTTTACATTTGTAGTTGTCCATAGCAACACCAAAAACGTACCTGCTTGCCTTCCACATCTAATTAATGGGCACAGTTTTTCGACTATTTTTTTATTTATTTATTTTTTTTTTTTTGCTGTGGATGTTATTGAGCTTGTAGAAATCGGAAACAACACCAGTTCTGCGACACAGATGAACCTTTATTGATATCTCTATCAGACAATACCTATTTTATATGCCAAAAGAAACAACAGGCAGTAAAAAAATATTAACATAAATATCTTAATGTAGGCATAGGCTTTAGTCGCATGCTTTGGCAAACAGTTGAAAAAAGTTTTAATAAAAACGTCATATCTTGCCTAAACCTTGTAGGCTCAGTCACCCCCACAATTAGAAATTAAATTAGAAAAACAGATATGCCATCCCTCTTTGAGCGAACATAAAGTCTGACCAGGCTAAAGTGCATGTATGACAAGTGCCCCAATAACCCATGGAGGATCATCCCCATTCCCCTCAAACTTGAAGCATAACGAAATACTACGCCATTAAAGTTGCGACAAAGAAATTCTGGCAAAATAACCTAAGCCTCGGAACGTAAAAGCGAGGCCAACATGTCTAGAATAGAATAGGCTAAACCAATATGAACGTAAAATTATCAGCTGACCGAACTCAAAAGTTTATATTGAACATATGTGTAGCCTAAATAACATAGGCTAATTGGTTTAATATGCCTGACTTTAGGTCTAGTTTGATTTTTTCTTGGCACAATGCAGGAATAAAATAGCATCTACAGTGTCAGGATTCAGACGGGAGCGCCTGCATAGCCCCTATAATGCGCCCTGCTGCACTGAAGGAGCGCTCGCTCGCAGCACTTGTTGCTGGAATGCATAGAATTCTCTTGGAAAGGTGCTGTAGTCGTGAGAATGACTGGCCTTATTTCTCCCAAAAGGAAGTAGATTTTCCTCTGCTGATCCGTCTATACGGAAGTTTGTAGATGAAGACTTCTGTACTTCATCCAGAATTAGTGTATCCGATTCCTCCTCCCATTCTGTGAAGTCAGTCCTAGGCTTTTTTGTTGGTGCGCCAGCTATGCCTATAAAAACAGTACAACCGCCCGCCACCCGCCCGAATTTAATTAAAATATTATTTTTTCGTAACGTCTTCCGCCCGATCCGCGGAGTCCGCGGCTATAACCGCCAACCGCGCATCTCTACTAGAAACACCATCCCAACTGTGAAGTATGGGGGCGGCAGCATCATGTTGTGGGGCTGTTTTGCTGCAGGAGGGACTGGTCCACTTCACAGCATAGATGGCATCATGAAGAAAGAATATTATGTAGAAATACTGAAGCAACATCTCGAGACATCAGCCAGGAAATTAAAACTTGGCTAAAAATTGGTCTTCCAAACAGACCATGACCCTAAGCATGCTGCCAAATTAGCTCAAATGTGCTTTAAGGACAACAGAGTTGAATGTTTTAGAGTGGCAATCACAAAGCCCTGTTCTCAATCCTATAGAACATTTGTGGGCAGAGTTGAAAAAGCTTGTGCGAGCAAGACAGCCAACAAATCTGACTCAGTTACACCAATTCTGTCTGGAGGAATGGGCCAAAATCCCTTCAAACTATTGTGAGACGCTTGTGGAAGGATACCCAAAACGTTTGACCAAAGTTATACAGTTTAAAAGCATAACTAAAAAAAGCAAAACAAGGAAATGCGTGTAAACTTTCGACTGTCTAGAAATTAATAACAAATTCTCAAAAATAACATTCTCTCATTATTCTGGCATTAAGCAAATGTAAATGATTTAGGTAATCCTAACAGACCTAAAATAGTAAACGTTTAGTATGATTTACCATCAGACAGTTTTTTTTAATGGGTATTTTCCTTTTTTTTTTAAGAGTATATGTAAGCTTCTTTTGGTTTCAACTGTATACAGTATACAAGGGAATTAATCATGTACATTAAGTATGTCTTTCAGCTGTTGGGATGTCTCAAGAGCTTTGGTATTACTATGTAGAAGTAAGGGAATCATTTAAAATGTTTAGATCAATGAAAAATAGTTAGTCAGCATATGTTTTGTTTCATGGATGTGGTGCTTTCCAGAAAAAAAAAAAGTTGTTTTGTTGTTATTTTGTCCATTTTTAATAATCCAGAGTTGCAATCTGTAAATGAAACGTATTAATCCATAAATAAAAGGCATTTTATCAGTGATATTGATAAGTTTATAGTCCACTTCAAAAAGTACTAAGGAAACTTGGGACCAAAACTGTTTTGTGTAACTGCGAATAGAAGTGTTTCCGGCTCCATTTTACAGAAACAACACAAGGGTGAAAAACCTTCCTTAAACTTGATCTCTTTGTAATATTTTAAAATTAGATTATTTTACTTCATTAGGAATTATGTATTTTTTTTTTATATCTGACCAGTTTTGGGGGTAAAAGTTTTTTACTGGACCTGCGTGTTCAGTTATTTACAATTTATAGGAAACGAATAGGTTGTTTCACAAACATGATCTCCACAGGGGGGGAAATGCTCATTTTAGAACAAAATTTGAGATGGCACTTTAGCTTTTGCATCTGAACATGTCAAATGAAGCCAGAAATGTTAACTTTTGGCTGAATATCTTGACTGAGTGGGTGGGGGAAAGAACAAGAGGATAGATGAGGGTTAAATTAATGTATTATTTTAATTAATATTAAGAAATATAATAAACTTTAAATGATTTATTAAATGTAGACTCACCGTCGAGAGGCAGAAAGTGCTCTTCAAATGAAAGATTGTGCTCGAGTGAGCAGCAGGTGGCGCTAATTCACTGTTTACCGAACTTTTCACGTGCAAACGTCATCAGGCTGCGTCGTGCTCTTGCTGTTGTCGTTACCGATCGACCGAGGAAAAGGTTTGTGTTTTTAAACATTCCCGTTGTTTATATGAATTCTAACCTTGTTTGTTTTACAAGATATACAAAATTGATGATTTACAGTTGACTTAGCGAAACTTTTGGCTAGATAACTACAGTAAAACAGCTACAATATGACTTGAAAATTCAAGGTTTAAGAGATTTGTTTTGATTTTGTCATATCAAGCCCGGAGTCAGACTGGTTAAAAGTGGTTATTTTTTCTCAAAAAGTGGACATTTTTGCTGTTTTTTTTTTTTTTTTTGCTGTTAATCGCCTCATTTTCTATTAAATTATGAGATATAAATACTGCACTTTAGTGAATCCATTTGTAAATGTAAGAAATAATTACAATTTTAAATATAGACATGATCAGGTTGTTCATACAAGATTGACCCAGCAAACACATAACCTTCCCCTAACGTTCCCATATGGTTCCCATTTGGTTATTTTGTTGGGAACCAAATAAGAACGTTCTGGGAACGTTCTCTGTATGTTATTTTTTTGGGTAACCAAAATATAACCTTCCCAGAACGTTCCCTGCAGGCTATTTTCGATGGTTGTTTTATAACCTACAGAGAACCTTCCCAGAACGTTCCCTCTAGGTTTTATTTAGGTTTTTTTTACATAACCTTGAGAGAACGTTCCCTGTAGATTATTTGTTGGTTTTATTTTCGTAACATAGACAGAACGTTCCCAGAACGTCCCCTCTAGGTTTTATTTAGCTTTTTTTTCATAGCCACGAGAGAACCTTCCCAGAACGTTCCCTGTAGGTTAATTTTGGAATTTATTTTATAACCAAAAGAGAACTTTCTCAGAACGTTCCCTATAGGTTATTTGTTGGTTTTATTTTCATAACATATAGAAAACCTTCTCAGAACGTTCTGTGTAGGTTATTTTCATGTTTTATTTTATAACCAAGAGAACCTTCCCAAAATGTTCCCTGTACGTTATTTCTGTGTTTTATTTTCATAACCCAGAGAGAGCCTTCCCAGATCGTTTTTATTATAGTACAAACACCCATGTGTGTTTTTAAATAATTATTATTTATTTATTTTTTGTTTCTGGACTTTGGATCTGTAATATAATTTGATGATTTATTATTTTATTAAAAAATATTTAGTAATGTCATTTAGATTTAATAATTTATATGCGTCGTCGACGCGTCGTCTGTATCACGTGATTAATTCAAACCAATGAATCAGTCGCTCAAGACTAACGCTGCATGGTATTGGAACAAATTGACATTGCGATATTTTGTTTTTCAGCTATATGGAATATACTCCACTAGATAGATTTAATCTTTTTTTGTGTGGATAATTTCACATTAGGCATGGGAAGATAACTGTTTCAAGGTATACCGTGTTTTGGAAAAGTCAACCTTTTAAAACCGCCAACATTTTCCGTAATAGCGTTCCTATGGTATGTGTACGACTTTTTTATTTACATTTTTTGTTTGTTTCTTCAGGACAACAGTATCTTTAGTGTTTTTTGAAAAAAAGAAGACAGAAGTGATTCATTTTCATTAATTAGTTTCTAGTGTTTACTACTCCAAAATACTAGAAATGTTTTTAAAAATAAAACACAATGTTTTCAAAGGGGAAAAAGTTTTAGTTTTTTTTACCCAGACATTTAAGAAAGATTATATTTTAGAGCAGTGATCACAATACCGTGATACTTTTTTTCCAAGGTTATCATACCATCAGGATCTTATTTTTATTTGTTGTTTGACGTAATCTCAACTGAAACATGGAGAGCAAACAGCTCTGCCCCTTAAAAAAACACTCAATATTTTGTTTTTATCAAATCTTTAAATCATTAGAATTTTATTTAAAGATGATTTTTAGTGGTTAAAATTAATATAAATGAGAGAAATAAATGCTTTAAAGTGTTAACAAAGTCTTAATAGGCACAAATATTTAAAAATATAACATAAAATGACACTTGGTAGTCTTTACTGTAAAAATGTATGCGTGTTAAAGCGACAAATGCTGTTGTTTGTTAAAAGTGAGATGCACAAATTATTTACCATTATTACGAATTTTTACAACAAACAAGAATGTTTCAATACAATCATAACGGCGTTTGTGTTTTACCGCTGTGCTCTAAAAAAACAACAACAATTATAATCCATATAATAACTCCTGTATTGCAGTCCCACAACAAACTTTCACGTCTGTCACTCGATGACACTCAAATACTCTGTCAGAAGCGTCTAGTGGCTGTGAATGAGCTTTTTACATTGTCTGCCATAATGTTAATGTTATTTTCTTGTGTTCATATAGATGAATACAGGCCCGTGGTTCTTTTTTTCCTCAAACAGTGGACCTTTTTGTTATCCGCTTGTTAAGTGTGACGTCACGCAGAGCGGCTTCCGGGTCCAAGCGCTCTATTCAACTGAATGGGGAGACTCATGAAATGGTAATAATAAATGTTTATAAAGCGACTTAATACTTTCGAAAATCACGATTGCAGTATATATGTCCATGCCTAATATCCGATGGCCAGAAAGTGATACATTTTTTTTTTATAAATTGATAAAATTTTTGGTATTTGTTATGCAGCAAGCCTAGAGATTGTTGTGTACACTATGACTTTATGTAAAATGAAATTTAATGTGTGATAGGAATAAAACGTGATCATAAACGAATGATTTCTCCACTTAAATGAATGGCGGCTTGGACCCGGAAACAGTAAACATACGTCACAGACATGTCACCACTTAACAAGCGGATACGCCTCAGTTTCTGTTTAACTATGAGATTTACTGCATTTTAGTAACTTTTTTTTTTTGCTGGATTAGCTAGTCAGATGTCATCATAACCGAACTTTTTGATGTACTAAAAGTATTTCCCACAAATTTGCAATGAAAACAGATTAAAACAAGTCTATTTTTTAAAATACAAATGTATTACATCATAAGTCATTAGGAAAAAATAGCAATCTGTTAAAGTTTTAAAGTAAAAAAATAAAAAGCTGTAGCCTACTGTCATTTATTAGAAAAACAAACAAACTGGCCAGCACATTCAACTGTCTTCAGTAACAATTTGACCCTTTCAATTAAAAAAAAAAAATTATATATATATACATACATATATATATATATATATATATATACATACATATATATATATACATATATATATATATATATATATATAAACATAATAACAATACAATAATAATGAATTCTTCAGAATTTTTCTTGCCTCTTTGGTAAAAAAAAAAAAAAAGTACATTTGAAAATTCCTGGATTTCAACAAATAGCCAAAATATATTCAAATGAATTGAATATGGTCCGCTTCTGGTGCTTCACACCTTTTCATTGCTCATTTTTAATTCGAAATAATGTCCGAGATTTAGAATAAAGGTTACCTGTAAAATGTTTTCTCTGTTTAAAAACAATACAGTAGTGAAAGAAGACTTCTCTGACATCAGATTATAGTCGAAGCAACAGCCGACAGAGGATTCCGTTTGGTCTTAAAGCCTTTTTTAATTGGTTAATTTCAATATTTATGATGGCATACCAGTCAAAATAGGATAAATGAGCTCATGTATGGACAAATTCTGGACCTTTAGTGAGGGGTGGGTCTTCTGAACCCCACCTGGCTTCAGGTCTAAAGAGTGAGAACACGTTTTATGCTTATAGTAAACATGTTTTTAAAGGGCCATGAAACCCCCTCGTTTCAGCAGGGTGTTTTCACACCTCTACTTTGGAAAAAGTCCGAAAAGTGGGCGTGTCCAGCTCTGTTTAGGGGGGAGTGTCGGAGGAAGAAAAGTGGGATGGTGTGGGAGTGTCTATTTGGGCACGCGCAAGTTTCAGAGTCAAAATACACAGACAGGAGAAAGTGATGGTGTTTAACCTACATGGACATCTGTAGTCGAATTATTTGCCAAATTATTAAATGGTGGACTTTAACTGCAGTTTGGCTCTTTCATTCAGGGAATTCATTCATGCCCCTCGCGACACACAAGATATTTGATTCGAGGAACTGCTCTAAGCGTGTATTTTTCATGCAATGTTTGATACCGCACGGCGAATGAGAGAAAAAAAAACTCAGCATTTCCCGGAAACTTAGATGCACACGGCAGGTAGCGTCAGAAAGCCGCGTGTGTTATTCCGGTCACACAATGCGGTAAAAACCCTACACGAGGTTAAAGTTTGGTTGTGGTGCTAACGTGTTTACACTCTGTGCAATAGATAGTTCGATACGAACAAACTGAATAAACAAAGAGCGCTGGTCGCTCACTTACCAAATCTGTAGCGACAGGACAATCACCAGCAACAGCTACAAGCTAATCCGGATCTCAGCGTTTGCAGATGAGAACAGCTCTCAGGTAAACAATTATTCTCCTTAGACACGCAAGTTATTGTTGTCGAGCGTCGCGTACACTGTTAATCCACACGTGACTCTGAGCTCTCACAGAGAGAAAATGAAAACGAAACTTAACGGCAGCAAACTATAAAAGCAACACTTCACGCTTGTTTTGCCAACACAACGTGGCGTCTCTGTGGCGTTAACACGGTGACACTAATAAATATTAATGAAGTTGCACAATAGAGCGCGCTGATTGGTTTGAACCAAGCCTTACTCATGCATTAATGCAACACACTGTAAGACGTAATAAGACACACTCTGGCACAGACGTCCAGTCTGCACGCTGGAATACACGCTATTATGTCATGACCGTGACGCAGCTTCAAAAATTCGATTCAAACCGGAAGTACGAATTTGCTTGAAATAACGCAAAAACAACCGAATTACACTTTTTAGTGAAATATAGGTGTCCTAATAGTGTTTTTAGCAGTGTGGGACACATATACGACTGTCAACAGCTCAAAATGTGTTTTGGTGTTTCGTGACCCTTTAATAGAGTTTTGGCTGTAAAAGCGCACCTACAGGTGTTTCAGGCGCAGTTCAGGTTTTCTCCAGGTCAACATTTTTTTTGTTTATATTAATTTTGTCTAAAAAATGTTTAGACCTGAATGCATCCCAGATCACCTTCTGGAGTGGTGTGAGCGATCAGATTTATATCCGTTCCGAATTAAACGAATAAAGTGGCCAAACAGCCTCAAAAACACAGAGGTTACGGGATTAGCGCCGTTTGCTGTTAAGTGACATCTGACGGCTGAGAACTCCGCATGCTATTAAAGCCTTCGGCCGACAGATATGAAAAAAATAATAATAATTGCAAAAATAGGTTAAGGGAGGTCATGTACTGGACAAGTCAATAAATTAACAGGACGTCCCGGCTAATGTGGCTAGTTAGCCTAGAACTTCATGGATGAGGGCAGATTTTCATCTGTTTGGAAGTAAGTAACTTTAGCCTTACCCTTGGCAGTCTTTTAGTACATATGTTCAATATTTTGCGATAATGACGCCGCTGCCTGCCTTCTTGCTCTTTTCGACCCACAGCGTTACTCAGTATGGATGTCGCATCAAAGATTCAAATGTTACCCATCAGTGGATTATGTCACGTGACTCGCGTCACAGTATTGTGGCTTTGAGGCTCCATGAGGATCGAATTAGTCGCCAGAGTTATTTAAAATGACACTTTATTACAATATGTATTCAATATAAATATATTAATTATGTAATATATTAAATTACATAAAATATTTGGACAAATTCTGGTCCTTTTAGCCGTGGGGAGTGGTTCGTTCGATGCCTTCAGTGATTTCCTGAAGATAAATACTTCAAAAAACAACAACAACTGGAATAACTACAGCAGTCGCCATCATCAATCTCATGTGAAGTAAGAGCTCACGATGTTATACGATAACGTGTGCTATGTTTTAGTGCCGTCCCATTTTCAGGGGCGCAAGGGGAAGGAGATTTTACACTCTGTTTTAAGGGCCAAGGGGTAGGGGTTAAAAAAAACTGGGCTTTAGTGGAGCAACGCAAGTTTTTTTTTTTTTTTGCTCCTCCAAATAGATCTCTTCAGCGATCGATCTTAAAGTCGAAATAATTTATCATTAAATATTAAAATATATTTTTTTACATGCAGGGTTTAAACACTAAGGATTTTTTCTACTGGTCCGATCGGGCAAGTGGTTTAGATTTTTACTTGCCCTGCCAAAATTTTCACTGGCCCCACCAAAAAAAGGGAAGTTAATAGCTATTTTTTAACCACATATTTTAAATAATGTGTCAAAAATAAAGTCTGTAAATCTAGAATACTTAAAAAACAATTGTAAATATAAGTGTTATCCAAACAAAAAGAGCAGTATGGAAAATGTGGAGGCATTTTATTGCAGTTTGAAATTATTTAACAAAAGGTGGCTGACTTGTCAAACTGACGCCAGACTATGCATAACATCATTTTTATTTTATCGCATTGTTTCCACGTAAATGTCTACTTCCAACACGTTAGAGACAGACATTTTCGTTTAGCCTTTTAATTTGATGTTGCCGCCATGTTGCTGTTTCTACACTGTACTGGTTGTTACCAGGTTACAAAAAAAATAGCATGGTCAAATCAATCAGATAAGACGAATCGGAAAGCAATATGTTTTTTTTTTTTAAGATTTATTTTTGGCCTTTTTGCCTTTATTAGATAGGACAGTATTGAGACAGGAAGCGAAGTGGGAGAGAGAGAGAGGGGGTAGGGAAATGTCGACGAGCCGGGATTCGAACTCGCGACGCCCTGACGTGCTACTGCACCATATGTCGGCGCGCTAACCACTAGGCTATTGCGCCGAGAGCAATATATTGTTTAAGACATTACAGAGAAGGTAGCATTTAAAGATTTAAAAGCACAAACTTAAAATGCACGCAATTGACAAATAGTCACAGACAAATGAAATGTTAGTGACAAGGCAGCACTGTCCCAATCGGGCCAGTAATGATCCGGTCTACTGTCCCAAGTGTCTCTCACGCTGGCCCTGGGCCACCGGGCTGTCCTTATTGTTGAGCCCTGACATGGAACATTTTTATAAATGAAAACTTGCCATTTAATTTGTGTTACTTAAACCCACAGAGAAAAGATGGCGTTTATTAAAGAGGAGAGTGAAGACGTGGAGATAGAAGAAACATTCAGAGTCAAACAAGAAGATCCGCAGGAACAAACAGGTTGGCTTTCATTCTCAACTAATTTGATCACTTTTCGGGTTAGTTTTGGAGATAATAACGTAACATCTCGTTAAAGAAAATTATAAAAACAATCAAATATGAATTTTATATCTGACACCAAAATAAATCAATTCATTTTCCTTCGGCTTAAGCCTGGTTTATGCTTCTGCGTCAAGTGATCAGCGTGACCCACGGCGCATGATACGCGCATAGCTGTGCATTTATACTTTTGCGCGCTGTTTCTGTTGCTCTGCAATAACACTTCCGAAATGCTAGTTGGCAGTGTTAATGTTTTTTCTGTGTCGAGTTTCTTCGCTGGTGTTTTGTTTTTTTTCTAAACGCTTTCTTAATGTACAAGTGGCTCAAACGCGCTCATTTTGAGGCAGGAACCGGCGGACGTGCAACAACTTTAACTATGAGGTAAACACAAAACAAAACTTTCCATCCGGAGCTCCTTCACGGGACGCCACACTTGTAAACAATCGCTTCATCGGGCTTGCACGGCTCTCTCGTCAGCGCTACCAAGCCGACCAATCACAGAGCTTGCTCTCCGCGTCATTGCGACGGCGAGGGCTATGCGTCCGTAGTGTATGCGTGCGCTTGATGCAGAAGTATAAATCAGGCTTTAGTCTTTATTTCAGAGCTCGGCACAGCAGAATGAACCTCCAATTATTTCCAGCATATGTTTTACACAGCTGATGCCCTTCCAGCTGCAACCCATTACTGGGAAACACCTGTGCGCTCTTACAGTCATACACACACTCATCAACTAGGGACAGTTTAGTTAATCTATATCAGTGGTTCTCAAAGTGGGGGTCTGGACCTCTCAGGGGTTCGCTTGTCGATTTCCAAAAAATTAACATTTTTTTTTTACTATAAAAAGAATTACCGTAATTTATCCATATTTACTGGAAAACAAAACAGTAGTTACTAGTAACGCTATTAACATGTTAATGATAACATTAAGAAAACAACATGCAACTAAAAAGCCATCAGCCTTTCAATATGTTTTGTTCTTGCGACTGTAACCCCGCTGCACCCGCTCCGAGCTGGGATCGAACCGGCGATCTTTTGCATGGGAGTCGGTTGCTCTAACAAGGAGGCTAAAGACCATGGCCTCTATCGTTTGTCGCTAGAGCACCTTTAGAGGTCAGAGGAGTGAGGTTTACCTGGACAGCACCTACTAGCTGGCCTCCGTTACACTCACCCCGTAAATACAGACCACAACTGAACATGGAGGATGGTCTCCGAGTGGCGTTCTCCAAAAATAAGAGATGAATACGCTTATTTTATGTGGCCGCCATCTTTAAAGAACCAAAGCGAGGCTGCGGTGGGAAGAAACCCGGAAGTATAGGACCAGCACTGTAAAAATTGCGGTAACATGCCGTGTACTACAAAACCTCCAGCTGTTGCCGAGATTTCAAAATGCAGAAATGGTGTAAACATCACTTTAATATAATTCAGTAAGTTTATTTTAAACAATTAAAAGCAGATTAGGCATCAAACAGCATCAAATTCTCAGTGATGCGCTTTAGTGTCCTCCCGGGCTTCAGCTCATGGCACTAGTTAAACACCGTGAGGACGCTTTCCTGCTTCAGTCTATGTAACCCGGAGAGAGATACAACACTGCAGTCCTCTGCAGCACACCCTTGTGTTGTCTGTAATTGTGTTGTCCCGGTACTGAAGTTTTAAAACCGTCTATTTCCTGCTAACAATGAAGCGCTGCTAAGCACAGATGAGTCGACTGATCTTCACAGCTGCTTCGCGCTTCAGTCTCCGTGCATATGTGTTTGGTTTGCACTCAGTTACCGCTCTTCACCCAGTGCAAACACAGATACATGGAGACTGAAGCGCGAAGCAGCCTTGAAGATCAGTCGAGTCATCAAGCAGATCGCTCCTCTGTCTGTGTTGTGTTTGTGCTCGGTAAACAGCGGGGGGTGAACTGATGACCTTCTCGGCCAATCACAATCATTTCTGTTGAACACGTGACCACAATGGCAAATCAGCGCTGTTTCAAGAAAGCCATCAACAGAAGCTTAAATGTTAGCGCGAAACTATCGTGTATCAGTATCGTGACGAGTCTAATATAGTGAAAGAGTCAGTTTATTAACTCGAGTTTGATGAATGGCATCTGAAACGTGTGTTTGGGAAAGAAAACGTTAGCTAGCTAGTGCCATTTCCCTTAACTTAGCTGAAAATGAGCTCTGATATCCCTTATTATATTCACCATTTATTCAGAATGGACCTCCGGGTCACCCGGAAGGCGGTGAAATTATAAATTTGGGTCACTTTCTCTACGCTGATAAGCTATATAGCCAGTTACACAACATTCCTATGTAACTCCCAATGATACTTCCGGGTTTTTCCCACCGCAGCCTCGATTTCGCGTTTGAAAATGGCGGCCGCGTGAAATCAGTCTATAGACTTGGGCCTATTGTTATGTGTGCACAGTTGGGTGCAAGGTATATATATTTTTAACCACTTGAGAGGATTTTGGGGGTCGCGAATCACTGGCATTGTTATTTTGGGGGTCGCAGGCTAAAAAGTTTGAGAACTATGTCTTTGAACTATTCGAGGTGTCTCTGATGACGCATTCTGCCCGGTTGGGCAGTGTATAAACATGGTTGACCTGTAGTTATACAGTATATAGTGTCCTTCCAAAAAAAGTGAAGCTCTCAGATGGTTGGCATCATCTCTTTAAGTCATCAGTGTTGGCATCATCCCATCACAGGTCTTGGGTCTGATCAAGTGTCACTCCACAATTTAAAGACCTGAGAAGGGTCTGGCTGCAGAGTTGCACTTGAACTTTCAGGCTTGGACTCTCAGGCACTTACGCTTCCCATGCAAGTGACGTCATTTACAATCAACGCCTGCACTCGCCTATCACGTCACTTGCAATTGACACAAAAAAATCGAAAGTTAGTATTCAGTTAATTTGCGTTGCCAGTGACGACGTTGTCAAATAAGTCTAAGTACTTCAGTTGTATACCATTAGGCAAGGCCTCTCCCTTGAACAAATGGCACTCAAAATGCAAGCATTGTCACCCAAATAAAAAGTGTTTTAGATAAAAGACTCACAGGACTGTAGATAAATAATTTAATAAAACTATTTAATAAATAAACTAATATATACGTGTTAAGTTAGCACGTCTGCGCAGGAGTGCATCCATATGAAATCGCAGTTTCAGTGCAGCTTCAAAAGTCTCGACATGATCCCAGCCCAGTTTTATAGGTCCTCCAAACATAATGTCGAGGACAACTCTATAAGGGAACGTCTTGACTCACTTCACGGAAAGAAAGCGAGGTAAGCATTCGTTACAATCTGGTTACGTAACTATAGCACCTGCTGTGCCCGTCACCGTATGTTTCCTGAAACTGAAATGCTTAGAAAAAAGGCACTTGGGTAAGGGTGACATATAAGAAGTTTGTTGCAATTATCCTGATGAAATCCCGTACCTCAGGGATTTTTTTCCCCTCAGGGACACCCTCAAGTTAAATTACTGAAGGACTTTTTCTGCAAGCCGTCGCAGGGGTTGATTGTGAAGACATCACTTGCAGAGGAAGTGTGCTTGCCTGAGAGTGCAAGCCTGAAAGTGCAAGTGCGAATATGCAGCCAGACTCTATCGAAAGACTTCGGGATGGGCATCCTGAGGTGGAAATGTAGAGGAAAGAAAAGAATTAGTGTAGTGGCTGTTCATAGTTTATTTGCACAAGAGATATGGATGTAATGGGGAAGCATCATCGTAAGGTACAGTTTTCTTAACCTTACAATATACTTAGGGAAATGTCAGTTAAGGGGCTTTATGCAGCACATTTCACTAGTTTTAAGGGGATTACTCTCAACCGAGAGTGCTGACACACCACACCAAATTCCGATATAAGCAAGAGCAGCGTCCCACACCTTTAAATTCTAGCCGCGTAATTCTGGATAAACTCAATTAATTTAGTCTTAATTAAATGCATTCGACCCTCACCAAACTATTATCATGTACATCCTGCCTCCCTGCCCATAGTATGCTGCTTGCACGCACATCTTGCCTCCCTTGATAAAGTTTGATACCCGTGCCACTCGCCAAGACAGAGGATGTCAGAAAACCCTCAGTACATCATAGCCAGTTATGTATTGTTTCTAAACCAATACCAGATCATCCTAGTCTGCACAGTGAAGCACCAAAACAATGATTCATTTTGACTCCGCTAGTGAGTGATTCGATAAAGTCTGCATTATTACCAGCAGACTTTAAATCAGAGGGACCAGTTTTAAAAGAGGGCAAGTTGTCAGATTAAGATTGTGCTCGCAAGACAGTGGGGATGACAAAACACCTACTTGGACAGGTAAAATTCCCAATTAAATATACAGTAAAAGTGCCACAAGTACCCAAAAAACGCTGAAGTGTCTTGGTCAGGGATTCTCAAACTCAGTCCTGGAGGGTTGGTGTCCTGCAGATTTGAGCTCCAAGTTGCCTCAACACACCTGCAAGGATGTTTCTAGAAAGCCTAGTACAGTGGTTTTAAACTCAATTCCATGGAAGGTTACAGTCCTGCATAGTTTAGCTCCGACTATCTCGGACTCAGACTTGCTTAATAGTCACTTGTATTCTTGAACACCTTGATTAGCTGGATCAGCTGTGTTTGATCAGGGTTGGAGCAAAACTGCGGAGCAGGGGCTCTCCAGGAACTGAGGCTGTTTCTCAATATGCGTTCTTCGGTGATCTTGTGTTCTGGTGTAACGTCATCATCGACAGCTAGTTTAGTTCCAAAACTCAAGAACGGCGTGAAAGTTCCCGGATGCGTTCTTGATATCAAGGACACACCGATGCAGACTTCAGCTTAGAACTCGCTCGAGAACTTCCAGAAGTTATTGCGACGGGTTAAAGGAGGTGGGAAGCGCAGCATTTTATATAAATTTATTATTAAAGTTCAGGAATAAAAGGAGTTTCCCTAAATCAGATGGTGAAAGTTAACGCTAACATTAAAATCTTAATAGAGGCATACACACAATAAGGTTGTTCATTTGCTGAAATTTGTATTAAATTCTGTTTTGTTTGTATTGTGCAAAGTATATTTGTAAGGGTTTGTGCATGCTATATATATTGAAAAAGGAAAAAAATAATAAATCGCTGTACGAATGCTGCGTGACGGTCACGTGACCATCCGTTCTTGTGGTCTCCCGAGTTCATTCTTCTGAGGTAACTTGGCAAGACTGGTCTTCACAAGAACATAAGTCCGTTCTCTGCGTTCTTGGAATTGAGTTTGAGACCTATGACCTCGGAAGAGCTTGATTAGCTATCCCAGGTGTGTCTGATTGGGGTTGGAGCTAAAATCTACAGGACCTCCAGGACCGAGATTGAGAATTCCTATAGTCTAGGTACAGTTGCACGTACATGGGTCACCTTGCTGCCGGGTTGCTGGTTTTGATGCTCTAAATCAGGGGTCACCAATTTCGGTCCTGGATGGCCGGTGTCCCTGCAGGGTTTAGCTCCAACTTGCCTCAACACACCTGCCTGGATGTTTCAAGTGCACCGAGTAAGACCTTGATTAGCTTGTTCAGGTGTGTTTGATTAGGGTTGGAGCTAAAACCTGCAGTACACCGGCCCTCCAGAAACAAGTTTGGTGACCCCTGCTCTAAATATTTGTTGCTATTAGCCAATAATTTAATCTTTAACACTGTCTTTTTGCTTTAGATCTGTTGTTACCAAAAAAGGAGAATCAAGATCTGAATAAATTGAAGATTGAAGATCCCCACAGTAATCATTTCATAGCTGGAGAGAGATCTTTGAGATGCCCGCAAACAGAAAAGACTTTTTTACAAAGAGCAAACAAATGTTTTGAGTGTGAAAAAGTTTTCCAATCTAAAAAAAAATTTAAAGAGCACATGCTAACGCACTTTACAGATGGCTGTTTTACATGCCAGCTGTGTGGAAGGAGATGCAAAAACTGGAGAGCGTTTGAGCATCACATGAAAGTTCACACTGTAGAAAAACCTTTCAGCTGCCAACAGTGTCCAAAGACTTTCGCTCAAAAGGATAACCTCAAACTCCACATGAAAGTTCACACCGGAGAGAAACCGTTCAGCTGCGAACAGTGTCCAAAGACTTTCGCTCGAAAGGATAACCTCAAACTCCACATGAAAGTTCACACTGGAGAGAAACCGTTCACGTGCCAACAGTGTGGAACGACCTTTGCTCGAAATGATAATCTCAAAAGTCACATAAGAGTTCACACCGGAGAAAAGCCTTTCACCTGCCCAGAGTGTGGAAAGAGCTTCATTCAACAAGGGATCCTTAAGGTCCACATGAGGATTCACAGTGGAGAGAAGCCTTTCACTTGCCAACAGTGCGGAAAGGTTTTTTCTCACTCTTTAAACCTCAACATCCACATGAGAGTTCACACCGGAGAAAAGCCTTTTACGTGTAAACCCTGTGGAAAGAGTTTCAGCCAAATAGGGACCCTCAAGCTCCACATGAGAACTCACACTGGAGAAAAACCCTTCAGCTGCCAGCAGTGTGGAAAGAGTTTCAGAGTAAATATGAAGCTTAAGAATCACATGAAAGTTCACACCGGAGAAAAACTTTTCACCTGCCAGCAGTGCGGAGTGAGTTTCAGAGTTAAAAAGACCCTTTCTTCCCACATGAAGGTTCATGCATCGGAGTGAGAAGAGTTTGACTTGTCAAATATGAAAAGACATTTGCAAATTCATTCTTTCAGCAGCTGAGTGTGGTAAGAGGATTAAAAGCGAGCTTTTCAGAGTGCCCTCACTCTGAAGGAAAGCATGATACCTGCTAGTAATGGATCATTATTGAACGATTTGTTCATTATGAACATTGTGAACAATGAGCCATTTAAGGAAGTGATTTGTTCATTCACACATGCTGTCAGCCGTTCCCTGCAAATCCCCTTGAGTTGCCAGCATAGGCCCTCTTATCTGATTATAGACTTCACTCTGTTGACTACAATCCCCATAACCCTGTACCTGCTGCTGATTACATCAGCAACTGAAACCCATCAAACACATATAATTGTACACATACTTGCCACGTAAAAAAATAGACATATATTTTTATGTCAAGCTCTTGAAAGTGGCTTTTCTGCTAGCATGAACACTGTTCATCTTCTCAATGGTACGATTGTATTTCATGCGTATGGATAAAACGGACAAGTTGGTAACTGCTGCCAACCCTAATGTCTGTCCGTTTACCACCCATTGTAAGTGTCCAGTTGTGTTCTGCTGCATTTCACTGTTAAAATGCTGCTGGAAGATCCAGAGTCCCAAGTTCACACCTTCTGCAGGTGGCAAGGGGAATTCAAGTATTGTCTTATTGGGGTGGCACAAGTGGGACCAAGAACCAGTCAGGGAGAGCCCATATATATATATTTGAGCAATTCCAGCGTTATGGATGTGACATTTGCAGTAAAAACTCAACACATAAATTGACAGAAAGTATATGTTAACATTATATTTAAAAATTTGATTATATTTTCTAGAGCAACTAGCCACAGAGTTATGGGAGCAGAAAAATATCAATCTGTAAACGTGTTTTGTACTTTAAATGAGGAAAATAAGCAAGCGTTATGGATGTGACAAAAAAAGTCTGCGAGTTTACAGTATACAACACACTTTGTAGAAATTATGTGAATTAAACTGCACAACCCAAAAGAAATAATGCTAATCAAAAGGATTCGAGTCGGCTCTCTATAAAACAAAAATGATTGGTTTTATTTTATTTAATATTTTCACATTTCTGAGGAAAAAGTTTCGTTATGGATGTGACATCTCTCTGTTATGGATGTGACACATGTGAAATTACCATTTGTGTGACTTTGGTAAATCAAATAGAATAGTTTAAAAACATTGACAGATGCATTTTTGAGTATTTTTAAAGTACTGTAAAATACTTGCTTACACAAAAAACCCAGAAATGGTTTCCGTATTTTCGTAAAAACGTAATTTATTACGTAAGGTTGACATTTGCACGGAATTGCCCATATATATATATATATATATATATATATATATATATATATATATATATATATATATATATATATAT